AGCAGATATGATATATGGGGTGATTTCCTTGATTACAAAACACACTTACTTAACAAGCTTACTAAAGTTGAAAGTATTATTCATTTTCAGATAACCAGAAGCTTTATTATTACAAAGGAAAATTATAGTAAGTCGATACTCGGCCAAATCAGGTTTTCTATTTTCATATTCTGATTGTCAAATACTCAGCATTAAAACACATCATTTGCTAAATACATTCTCACCATAGTAGCGCTAGGAAAGTTACTAGTTTGACATGGGAAACTACTGGGTAGTACATCAACTACTAGTAGTTGCCCCGGATGACGTTACTCACCACGTGACTTGCGATTTCTAATATGCAAAACAACCGAAGAAAAACTACCCAATTTAGCTTTACTTCTCCACCTGGTAGAAGATATTTTTTGGTTCCAATGTTCCCTCATGGAAATACATGTAGACGTATACTTGTGTCGTCATGGTCATGCAATATATGCAATATATACTGGTGTACTGTATTTTATTGAATGGTTTTTAAATATGAAGAATTTAAACTTGGGTTATAAACCTTCATTCAGGCATTCCAAAATTTGCTTGGAGGTCGCACAATTACACTCCATATGACATGGGCAGCATACAACTCCATTAGAAGTGCATCTTTAATAGAATTACTTGTAAAGCAATAGTTGAATCAACAAGATATATTGTATACTAAATAATTTAAAATATGATTTATTTGGGGTCATTAATGTAAACAATGCAGTACTTGTAAATATTAATTATATTAATACTTAATCATTTGTCATACAATGAACACAATTGTCAATAACAATAAGGATTTTGATCACATGACTTGTCAAGTCACATGACCAAATCTTCCTCACTTCTATCCTATTCATAGACAGACTGTTTTGTATTTTCACAATATTTCTTGTAATTTCAGATACATTTAAAAAGATGTTTGTACAGAAAAGAAAAGAACAGTATAAAGAATATGAAAAACAGGTAATGAATTCTGTGTGAATTTTCGCTTGGATGAAGAATAAATCAAGTGAAAATTCAAAATAATATTTTAGTGACAGGTGACATTGATGTCACAGTACCATTGCAAATACAAATGTTTACATCAACAGTAAAATCCTTTATTTACACTTGTAATGATTTTTTCGCTATTTTTGCTAAAAGGATGAATATGCCTTTTTTTCCTATATTTCACATTCAACTCGTCAAAAATCAGTGAAAATAACTACCATACAAAACACCAATAAAGTCTTTTCAGCAAAAATTAATTCCAGGTAAAAAAATGTATTTTACAGTAGAGTGTTTTGCCACAGATACCATATTCCATTTATGGGACTATGTGACATGGCTGTGTGACCATCTTTCTATCATGATGGCATTATGACAATTTAATGAGCTATCCTGGTGTCAACCAAGGTTTCCCTAAAATCATATCTGTTACTGAGTGAATCTCAGCCAGTGGATTTAATCTTCCATTGAGTTTGAGACAACCCAGTATACATTTATATCTGACTTTTGTTTTTATAGGAGAAAAAACTAAAAGAATTGAAATCCAGGGGACAATCATCAAAGCAAGCCGTAAGTATTTCTCAGTCAGACTAAACTCTGTTGCAGATGGAGGATTCAGTTGATTTTAATTCTGGTCACAAGTGTATATTATTACCAACCTATGCAAATAACATTTTGATCATGCAAATAGAGCAACTAATCAGATCTTCTGTTACAGGCAGATTTCTTTGAAAGGCAGTTTCTAATTGGTTGACAAATACAACACAAGAAAGCTTCTTGGTGCAGGGTTCTCCCCAGAAAAAATGCATAGTGCTGGGGCTAATTTGCATAATAATTTGCATATCATTTACATATCTTTCCTTCATTGATTAACAGAACTTATTTACAATTATGAATATTATGAATAATATGTTTCACAATTTAGAAGAGTTTGAAACATTCTCGAAATACAAATGCTGCAGACTAAAAACAAACACAAATAAATTATTGTTGCAATTTAATTGTTTTGTAAAACGTTGAAGGAAACTCATTCAAAACGTTAAGCCAGATTTATGTTCACGAATCTCATAATTTTATTCACTCCAAAAACATTCTCCTTCAAAAAATCGATCACGTAATT